AGGCGGGTCTCGAACCCGCGGGCTCAGGCAGTCCACTCACCTCAGCCTCCCAAAGCACAGGATTATAGGCTGAGCCACCGAGCCCGGCAAAAAATTTTTTATAGAGACGAGGTCTCGCTATGTTGCCCAAGTTGGTCTCAAACTCCTGGCCTCCAGTGATCTTCCCATCTTGGCCTCCCAAAATGCTGGGATTGCAGGTATAAGCCACTGTGCCTGGCCCAAACTTCAATTTTAAAAGCAATGGCTTCATATGCAGTTATAACATGTTTTCTTCACTTAATCTAATTTTATCCAAATTGAATTACTTTATGAATAAGGAAAAAAAAATGCCCCTATCCCTACACAAGTCCTTGTTCTCTACTTATGCATAAAAAGCAAGAAGATGATAAATTCTAATAAAGCATCCCCTCACCTACTCCTCTCACCTGGGGAGCCCAATCAACATACTGAAATAGAGCCGGGCTCGGTGGCTCAGCCTGTAATCTTGCGCCTTTGGGAGGCTGAGGTGAGTGGACTGCCTGAGCCCACGGGTTCGAGACCGCCTGGGCAACTCGGCGAAACCTCATCTCTACAATAAATCAAAAAATAAGTGGGGTGACAGAGTGAGACTCCAACTCAAAAAACAAACAAACAGAAAAACAAAATAAAAACCATACTGAAATAGAGATGATTCAGCTACTGAGGACTATGTGTTCCAGTTAAGGTTACCTGCCCAGGACTCTGCTTATTTACTTTGTTAAGTAAAATTGCATTTAGCTATTCACCAAAGTCAAATCCTGTTTTTGGCATTCCTGATGAATCTAAGAGGATATGTGGAAAAGTTCAGGAACATGACCTTTGGAGTCAAAAGGGTGTGGTTTTAAAGCCAAGCAATCTCTTCTATTAAATCTATGACTGGGGGTAAATTATATGGTCTCCTTGAACCCAGTTTTCCTATTTGTAAAATGAGAACATCATCCACCCCATAGGGTTAAAAAGATACAAGCATGAAAGCAGTAAGCAATACATCTGAGACATTACATCCTTCCTCATCTGTGTAGAGTCTCTGTCCATGTGAACATCAGGTATTTTGTGTGTGTGTGTGAAATAATAATAACACGAAAAATTCTTACAACATGTTAATAAAAACAGGAGAGAAAATTGTATATTAATATAACTCTAACAAGCAAAACAAAGCAAAAGGCCAGGCATGGTGGCTTACCCAGCACTTTGGGAGGTGGAGGCGGGAGGATCACTTGAGCCCAGGAGTTTGAGACCAGCCTGGACAACATAGTGAGACCTCATCCCTCTCCCTAAAAATATACATAAAAAACATAAAATTGAGCTGGGCTCAGTGGCTCAGTCTGTAATCCCGCGCCTTTGGGAGGCTGAGGTGAGTGGATTGCCTGAGCCCAC